GTATTTTAAACTTTGAAAAAGTATGTGTATATATTTTTTATTTGGTATGTCAGAAAGTATGTAAGAAAGTATCTTAATGATGATTATTTAGGTAAGGCAGTAAATGACTTAGCAGTTAACTAAGTAGGTATAGATATATAAATTTAAATGAATTTAAGTTAAATTAGGTAGAAAAATAAGGAGAAGTATTTTAAAGTAAAATTAGGTAAGCAGGAGTATGTAAATGTTAAAAAGTAAAGAAACAAAACTTGAGTATATCCAGTCAAGTACAGACGTTAAGAATAAAAAGTCAGTAAGGATTTAATTGCAAAGAAAATAAAGATTTCTGTAAGGTTAAGTAAATTAGGTAAACTCAACTAAAGTAAAGTAAAACAATATGAAGTAAGGTATAGTGCAGATAAAATAAATTATAAGTAAGTTAAAGTAAAGGGAGTAAGTTTATTGTGAGTTCAGGTAAATACAGTAAAAAAAAGTTAGGTTAAGTTAGCTAAGACTAAGTAAAATAAAACAAAGCAAAGCAAAGTAACGTAAAGGAAGAAATAAAAGTATAGTTAGGTAAATATAAGACTAACACTAAAGTAACGGAAGTAAGCTGAAGTGAAGTAAAGTAAAGAAGTTCAGTAAAATAGCCTAAATTTAATTAGGTTCATGTAAAGTGAAGTAAGACTGGAAAGTATGTAAGTAACTAGGCAGAAAGTAATTATGTAAGTAAGTTTATAAAAAAAGAAAGAAAGTAATTAACTAAGTAAGGAAGTAAGTGAGTAAGCGAGTAAGTAAGTGAATAAGTAAATAAAATAATAACCATGTAAGTCATTAGTATGTAATTGAGTAAGTAAGTAAGTAGGTAAGTATTTAAGTAAGTAAGTAAGTAAGTAAGTAAGTAAGTAAGTAAGTAAGTAAGTAAGTAAGTAAGTAAGTAAGTAAGTAAGTAAGTAAGTAAGTAAGTAAGTAAGTAAGTAAGTAAGTAAGTAAGTAAGTAAGTAAGTAAGTAAGTAAGTAAGTAAGTAAGTAAGTAAGTAAGTAAGTAAGTAAGTAAGTAAGTAAGTAAGTAAGTAAGTAAGTAAGTAAGTAAGTAAGTAAGTAAGTAAGTAAGTAAGTAAGTAAGTAAGTAAGTAAGTAAGTAAGTAAGTAAGTAAGTAAGTAAGTAAGTAAGTAAGTAAGTAAGTAAGTAAGTAAGTAAGTAAGTAAGTAAGTAAGTAAGTAAGTAAGTAAGTAAGTAAGTAAGTAAGTAAGTAAGTAAGTAAGTAAGTAAGTAAGTAAGTAAGTAAGTAAGTAAGTAAGTAAGTAAGTAAGTAAGTAAGTAAGTAAGTAAGTAAGTAAGTAAGTAAGTAAGTAAGTAAGTAAGTAAGTAAGTAAGTAAGTAAGTAAGTAAGTAAGTAAGTAAGTAAGTAAGTAAGTAAGTAAGTAAGTAAGTAAGTAAGTAAGTAAGTAAGTAAGTAAGTAAGTAAGTAAGTAAGTAAGTAAGTAAGTAAGTAAGTAAGTAAGTAAGTAAGTAAGTAAGTAAGTAAGTAAGTAAGTAAGTAAGTAAGTAAGTAAGTAAGTAAGTAAGTAAGTAAGTAAGTAAGTAAGTAAGTAAGTAAGTAAGTAAGTAAGTAAGTAAGTAAGTAAGTAAGTAAGTAAGTAAGTAAGTAAGTAAGTAAGTAAGTAAGTAAGTAAGTAAGTAAGTAAGTAAGTAAGTAAGTAAGTAAGTAAGTAAGTAAGTAAGTAAGTAAGTAAGTAAGTAAGTAAGTAAGTAAGTAAGTAAGTAAGTAAGTAAGTAAGTAAGTAAGTAAGTAAGTAAGTAAGTAAGTAAGTAAGTAAGTAAGTAAGTAAGTAAGTAAGTAAGTAAGTAAGTAAGTAAGTAAGTAAGTAAGTAAGTAAGTAAGTAAGTAAGTAAGTAAGTAAGTAAGTAAGTAAGTAAGTAAGTAAGTAAGTAAGTAAGTAAGTAAGTAAGTAAGTAAGTAAGTAAGTAAGTAAGTAAGTAAGTAAGTAAGTAAGTAAGTAAGTAAGTAAGTAAGTAAGTAAGTAAGTAAGTAAGTAAGTAAGTAAGTAAGTAAGTAAGTAAGTAAGTAAGTAAGTAAGTAAGTAAGTAAGTAAGTAAGTAAGTAAGTAAGTAAGTAAGTAAGTAAGTAAGTAAGTAAGTAAGTAAGTAAGTAAGTAAGTAAGTAAGTAAGTAAGTAAGTAAGTAAGTAAGTAAGTAAGTAAGTAAGTAAGTAAGTAAGTAAGTAAGTAAGTAAGTAAGTAAGTAAGTAAGTAAGTAAGTAAGTAAGTAAGTAAGTAAGTAAGTAAGTAAGTAAGTAAGTAAGTAAGTAAGTAAGTAAGTAAGTAAGTAAGTAAGTAAGTAAGTAAGTAAGTAAGTAAGTAAGTAAGTAAGTAAGTAAGTAAGTAAGTAAGTAAGTAAGTAAGTAAGTAAGTAAGTAAGTAAGTAAGTAAGTAAGTAAGTAAGTAAGTAAGTAAGTAAGTAAGTAAGTAAGTAAGTAAGTAAGTAAGTAAGTAAGTAAGTAAGTAAGTAAGTAAGTAAGTAAGTAAGTAAGTAAGTAAGTAAGTAAGTAAGTAAGTAAGTAAGTAAGTAAGTAAGTAAGTAAGTAAGTAAGTAAGTAAGTAAGTAAGTAAGTAAGTAAGTAAGTAAGTAAGTAAGTAAGTAAGTAAGTAAGTAAGTAAGTAAGTAAGTAAGTAAGTAAGTAAGTAAGTAAGTAAGTAAGTAAGTAAGTAAGTAAGTAAGTAAGTAAGTAAGTAAGTAAGTAAGTAAGTAAGTAAGTAAGTAAGTAAGTAAGTAAGTAAGTAAGTAAGTAAGTAAGTAAGTAAGTAAGTAAGTAAGTAAGTAAGTAAGTAAGTAAGTAAGTAAGTAAGTAAGTAAGTAAGTAAGTAAGTAAGTAAGTAAGTAAGTAAGTAAGTAAGTAAGTAAGTAAGTAAGTAAGTAAGTAAGTAAGTAAGTAAGTAAGTAAGTAAGTAAGTAAGTAAGTAAGTAAGTAAGTAAGTAAGTAAGTAAGTAAGTAAGTAAGTAAGTAAGTAAGTAAGTAAGTAAGTAAGTAAGTAAGTTAGTGGGTGATTTAGTAAGTAAGTAACAAGTAGATCACTGAAAACAGACAGCAAAGTTTTGGGGAACCCTGAAGTTTTTTAGTTCCGTGGTCACTTCGTCAAACTTTCCTTGAAATTCGGAACATTTGCTCGGTTTCTCAGACCAATAGATTGTCACAAAAATTATAATGAAGAAAACCTGATTGCGGAAACAAAAACATTTTTATTGTCGATCTGCTTGATTTGAAGAGAGATTTTTAAATGCTTGTCTTCAGTTTAATCCTTACATCAATTTGATTATTAAAGCATGCGCGCTACGAAACACTTTTTTTGAGATAGAAAAAAGCATTACGAGGCCAAATTGTGCATTCTGTGAATCGTAAGCGGATTCCGCAACAGGCCAAAAACAAAACTGTTGCGGAATCCGCAACAAAGCTTTTTTTCTTTGATGTTTTTGTTGTTTTGGTTTACATGAACCAATAGCTAAAAAATGTTGGGCTCAAATTTGCTTCGCAACAGGCAAATTTGCGGAATCCACTACCAAAGTTGTTAGACTCGCACTAAAATTTGCGGAATCCGGAACAGTTTGTGGAATGCATAATCAAATAGTAATATATGTGTTTTGTAAAATTGAGTTGTCGTGGAATCCGCAACTGTAGGTGGAATCCGCAACTTGAAAGCTAAATCCACAAATTGTCAGCGGATTTCTCAAATTGTGAGAGGAATCCGCATTATTTTGCGGAATCCACTTTTTTGCTGAATCCACTTACATTTACGGAATCCGGAAACACTTCCAAAATTCGCTCGTTGCCGGACTCTGCACAAAACTAATAATGGGCCGACAAAATTTACATTTCATGTATTTGCAGGCGGAATCCACGGAAATTTTTTAAGTGGAATCCACTTACATTTTGGAGCATGTTTAAAGACTTGTCTCTGGAATCCAGGAACATTCAGACAGAAAATTGGTGCACCTATCCAGAGCACAGTTTGACCTCGTAGTGAGCATTTTTTTTGAATTGTTTCTTCCTTAAACTAGAAATTTTGTTAGATAAAAAACAGAAATCGATGTGAACAGAAAAAATGTTCATTTCGTAAATTGTGGCTAGTTTTTTTTTTTTGGTTCACATCGATTTCTGCTCAATATATTTTTAACTTTCCTTTTTCTAGAACATGTTCATCCTGTTGGTTTGAAAAATGTCTCATTAATAAAATCTGGGTTTGGGACCAGAGAAAAGTTTTTCCGAAAGCTTCACAATGGTTCTCAAATAGCGGAACAAACTGTCAAAAATTATACTGGAAATAATTTATTGTTATTATTATTATTATGATTATACCTGTCAAAAACTGATAAATGAACATGGAGAAACCAAAACTAATTTTTTTTTTCAATTTCTCATCATTTTAGAGGCCCGAGTATCAAGTTCTCGCTAACTATTTCAAAATTACAACGCAAAACATTGAAGTAAATCACATGTCTCTAATCTTTTGCTCTTTGATTGTGTGGTTGCGGCCAACATATAATTCATTGAAGCAAGAAGAATAGCTAAGATGGAGGTGGAGCAATAAACGGAATGGTCCAAGAGCAGAATGGGTCCAAGAGCAGAAAAAAAGAAAAAAATTTACTAATATTGGTTCATACGGGCTAATTGATAAAACAATTATTAGAATCGTCAAAAATACCAAGAAAACGAATAAATTATGCATGAATTGACTAAGTAAGTAAGTAAGTTTTTAAATATAAGTAAGTATATTTTTTAAATTCTTGATAAATTACGCAAATTTTGTATAAAATGGTAGTTTTTTTGGTTTTATTGACATTTCTGATAATTATTTACCGAATAGCTTATAAAAATTGATACTTTTCTGTTTTTCTGCTTTTGGACCCATTCTGCTCTTAGACCATTCTGCTTATTGACTGGCCACCAGCTAAGACTATTCTAATGTCAACTTGGCAATCTGTTTGAAGACAAACCAACGAGATAAAGCGAAGTTTTGATACGAGACAAAGTCGTTTTTATCTTGTCACTTTTGCCGCAAAGTGAATTGTGTAAAGCTGATTTCTTCATCAACTCGATGACATACAATTCAATCAGACCTTTTGCTGCAGTGGTTATTGTCGTCTAAAGTGCAGTAAAATCGAGTCAAATGACATAACAATTTGAATTCAATTTTCCATTGAGTCTTACTCATTCCAGAATTGCATTCCTTTGGAGTTTTTTCCTTTGGAGTTTTGACCTAAAATTATTTTTCCAATAATCCTTTTCGCTTTTTATACTCATACTAATTTCAATAATTTTTCAAATTTTTTTGCTCAATGTGAAGAAATTCGATGAAGTGAACCAGCCTTTTGCCCAACTTATCTATTTTAGTTGATTGATTGCAAAGTTTGAAATTTTACTAACTTCTTCAGCTGTTTTTTTGACGATAAAAACATATTATGATGCCGAAGTATCAGATCTTTGTAGACAATGAGGCGGGGGGCAATGACAACGAGGACACCCTCAATATCCTCAGCAACAGTCAGTGGGACGGGGGAAATAACAACGACCACGACAACACAGGCTTATGGGATCAAGCGGTGCGAGATGCCACAAGTACAATGACGACAAATGTCGGCGGCGGCGGAGTGATCAATGTTGATTCCCATGACTCTGCAAGTGATTTTGGTCGGATGAGTCATGCACCGGTCAACAACAGTAACGCAGGCAGCGAACTCCGTGAGTATATACGCCACTGATCATTCACTGCCTTGACACCTTTAGCTATAGCCGAGAAATTTGACTTATCGTAATTAATGAGCATTTGGAAAACAATCGTAAAAAAGTTCAAGCTAATTCCTGTTTCTTAAAAATGTAATTGTTCTTTAAATATAGGTTTGGGCAGTGCAAGTCGACCTTCGCCTGACAACAAGAAGAAACCAATATCGGCAGATCCGTTCGAAGCATCCTATTCTAAAATCGATTGCCTGTGGAAAAACAGTGTGTTCGATTTCTTCAATGATCGTCAGTATCTGTGCGCCATTTGGTTCATGATTGCAGTCCAAATTATACTTTTGATCTTCTTATGTCAACATTTTTCGTTCATCGGCGGCGTTCAGTCCCGCTTTGGACCGGGGGGTAGCTCCGCGGTTTCGGCAGAGGAGAAACAAGTGCACAGAAACTTAGATCTGGAGGAGAACGTAAGAATAGGACGGCAGACGTTTCATAAACTGATGAAATATTGTCACACCTTCATGTGTTTTGAGAAGCACAACTCGGACTTCGGCTCCGATTGCTTCTGCTTCTCGGAAGTCCAGCGGTCCTGGGACACAGCTAATGAGTGAGTTGTTCTCTTCTTCGTGTGCTGGTTTTTTTTCTCTCCAAAATTTGGATCAAAATTCTCCATAATCCAGTGTTTCTATAGATCTTTTATATTACAATGTTTGCAAGTCTGCCATTACATTGTTGCTGGCCACCATAGTAAAGCAATTTCAGTTTTCTTACTGTCGACTCAATGATTCCCCTCTGAATTACACTTCATTTAAACAATTTGTGCAACTAAAACATTTGGTATGCATTTAGACTGTGTACGGGTGAGTTGAAGAATGTGAGTGGCAAGATGGTGATTTTGGACACTGACTCGAAGAAGGACTCGTTTGAGGCCATCATCAAAGAGTACTTCTCCGCCAAGCCAGAAGACACTCACTACTCCTACTACGGGTGAGCAGTGAGCAAAACAACCACAACGTCACTGCGGGCGACAGAACCACAAATTTAGTCAATGCACTCTTTGTACCCTTAAAACAATCCCCCATTCACCCTTTGAAAAACTCAAGAAGTAAAAATCTTGCAAACTAATAACAAATTTTGTCAACCATTTGTTTAGGTCAGCCAAATTGGTTTTGCGAGCTCTCACAAATCACTGTATAGTCTCTATTTCGAGCAAATTTTCTCAACAGCCAACTTTTTTTAACCAGCAGGCCAAAAAGGCGTTTTAGGCACTTATCGAAAACTTTGACCAAAACATCGCATTTTTTCGGCGCGCGCTTCCCCATAAAAATTAGTATAAATTGACGCCAGGGGCGGATTTAGGTATTTAGGGATTCGATCAGGGGTGGATTTAGGGGCGGATCAAGGGATATAGGGATTCGACCGCCTTACCAACCAGGTGCGGATTTATGGATTTGACACCCTCACCAACCAAAGGGTTCCCCTTTGGTATATTTTTTTACATCCATTTTCGACCGACCAACCCTACAATTGTTCTAAGGGCGCCTTTGGCGCCGATTTATAGTAATTTTGAACTGGAGCGCGCGCCTAAAAAACGCGTTTTTTCCAGCAAAATCTTACGGTCGACTCAATGACTTCCCCCTATGAATTTGTGCCTCCTCCCTTGAGAAAAACCCAAGGTGCCTTAAGAAATTTTTAGGGCCAGTCTGCCAAATTGGTATCTCAAAATAGTACAGAGCTTTGGGTCGACAGGGAGTCGAATCCCTAAGGGAAGGGACGTCCGTCCCCCTTCCCCCAAATCCGCTACTGCAGTCATGGTGTCGGTTTATTCATTCTCGCAGGACCAGTATAATAGGTTGCCATAAACTACAAATCATCATCATCATTTATCATTTTTTTGCATTTAAACCTAATTATAAAGCTGTAGTAATATAGATGATTGAGCGATGCTATAATCGATCGTAGTTTTTGACAAAAGTCCTCAATTCTGGCTGGCCGCGCAGTCCAAGGATGGGCGCAACTGGAAGTGGAAGAACAATGTCGAGACGCAGTTGCAGATGGTGCGGGAGGAGGACTTCGAGGCAGATTGTCTGGCTCTCAGGGGCGACGGCAAGCTGGAACCGAAGCCTTGCTGGCCCAGCTACGATGGGGTGGATGTCGGAGTCATCTGCGAGAAAAAGGTCAGAGCAGGCAGCTAGAACACACAAGTATGAATCACACAAAATATATACCTAGACAAGATTTAAATTTTTAGAAATCGACCTCCCTCACTCATACCAAAGAGATGAGTCGTATGATCTGCGAGGAGTCACGGATTGAATCTCTAAGGACAAAACACCCTTTTTCACAAAACACCCTTTTTTAGTTTAAAATATCCCATGCTAGTATTTGGCAAAAAATGACCCAAAAAGTTACAATGAGTTTTGAGATCTGATTTGACGATAGAAACATACCAAAACATTGAAGCACAATATAAGAAATATTAACAGTTACAGCTTTCAACCAGTCAATATCCAGTTGCTCGCTGGACCAACTTTATATATTATATATGTCCGATATTGTGGAACCAGCTCTGAACTAGTATTTATAAACCAATTATACTGATAAATTTTTCCCTATAAAAAATACTAACTTACCTATCATTTTCCATCACTAACATTGACACTTATTTCTAAGTGCTGAAACTACTTGTAGTTTCAGCACCAGAACAGTTTGAATATATCTTGGACTACATTTGCTCTCCTTTTGGACGAACTCCATGAACTAACTCACAAATACCAGTATACACTAGATATATTGAGACTAGGAGATATAAGAGTAAGATTAAGATTGGTGTTAGACTAAGAATTTGCACGAATCTATCCGGCCGAAATTGAGATAGCGTGACGAACAGATGGTGTACCTTATCTGAAATTACTCTATGAGTACGCTACTCCAAGCATAACTCATCTGGTGTGACCATAATTCTCGAACAAGAACTTAACAAACTTAGATTGAGCAAATTAGAATTAGAAATAAGACTATTGCAAATTGCAAAATGTTAGATGGAATAGACAATTTAATAGAATTGACTCTACGTCTCAATAAATCTACGCCAATAATTCAAACAATTCAAGAAAATCCAGGTATTGAACGAAAAACAAGATCACGGCGTGAACAAGGATCGAACGAAGGACCTAGCTACTACATCATAGTACGACGAAAACCACAAAAATTATTTGTTTTTAGAATCTTTTATACAGTAAACTTAAACTTTCTTTGACTGTAATGAAAATGATTTAATTTGAAGACTAATTTTATCTCTTCAAAAACCTACCTGATGCTTCATAGCTATACTATATAACAAAAATAACGACTGATAAAAACACAAAAGTTGTTCCTTTCAAACTCTGCAGTACTTTAATTTTGAACATTTTTGCAAACTTATTGCATAAAAAGAGAAAAACTAGTTAAAGGAAACATTAACGTTAGTTTTACCAAACATATAAAAAGTTCTTGCTTCTCAATAAACCACTTTTTTTTTCATTCTCGCTTCATCACCTAAAACATAACCAATTTTTTAAAAAAATTAACATGATTTAAATTCTAACCCTTAGAATAATTTCACGTCTATAACTTTTCTTCAAATTACTTTTTTAATTTAAACTTTATCAAGGCCTATTTTTGCCTTTCGATTTTTAAAAATTTTTCAAAAACCAGATCATCAAGGTTTTCTTTTTATCTTTTATCTGACTCTCAATTAAATATTATTTCACCTAATCTATCTGATCATCAAGGCTTCCCTTGGATCAATCAGAACAATTTTGTTCTCCCCCTCATAATTTAAAGTCTCTAGCGACCTCAAAGGTTGGTTAACTCTCCAACCCTTATCAAAAAACCCAGGACTAATGAAAATTTTTGAGCCCTCCCTCTTAGATGACCCAGGTTTAAACCCTTAAAATAATCGTAAGCCCTAAAATAGTATGAAACAATGTACTTGTGTTCTAACTTTACCTGAACCTTGTAGATTGATATACTATTCTTCAACCCTTGATCACCAATCAAACCCCATAGGTATGATTAAGCAAGTTTTTCTTGCAAAAAAAAATTAGTCACGAGAAATTAAACACCATTCTAACGAAATGACTTACTTTATCTCCAACCCGTCAACCTTGACAATCTATGCCCCAAGTTACAATAACCACAAAAAACCGCAAGAACTAACAATTTAACAATTAAATCTCTAACATCCGAATTTCGCATCCATTATCCTAAACATTATGTCAAGAGTTCTAAACATCCTAAACATCACCGAATTTAAATAATGATTTACAACCAACAATAGCATGGTTTATAATTGATTATTTTGTTCCCAATCTAGATTCATTTCAACATCAAGAAAAAGTTTTCGACCACAAAGCTCAGACAATGAAACTGTATTAGTCGAACAAACATAATATATTTGCGACCCTGAATGGTCTCATCCTCTATTTTTATTAATATAACAACTGATATCTCAGGTGCAGCAATTACCACTTTCTGTACACAAAGATTATGTAAAAGTTACCCACATACTATTGATGAAACAACTTCAAACAATAACCCATTGTTCAACGAAAGAATAGGAAATAGTTGTAACTCAACATTTATCAATAAACAAGAAACCCTTAATGGCACACAAAATCTTACACAATAAGATATTCAAACCCCATCACATTTTGTTAAAGAAGAAACAAATGAAACAAAACCTAGAACAACACAAAAAAAATGTTTCTCCTATCCAATCTAAACTTACGACACCACATAATAACAACACTCCATTCCCACAGACAACTATTCAGTCAACAGTAAAACCATCTGCTATCACAAAAAATTCACAACTGGACTATCAAACTTATAAACCAGTAACCAAAACAGGACAACCAAACAAGCAAAAGCCTCCAAATAGAAATAATTTTTCGGACTACAATTACGTTTTGTTTTGCAAATAACAATATAAATAGACCACTAACAAAACCCTCCTACAACACGTAATCCCAACCAACCAAAAAAGCAATATTAAAACATCAGATACCACATCAGGCCGAACGAACTGACAACTGACAAATGACCAACAACGAACTACCACAGATTGCTTTGAAAATTACCCATTTTTTCAACAAAACAAAAATATAACAAGCAAACAATTCACAAATAATCAACCACATTATTCAGAGGATGGAGTTTACTTCAACCAAAACCAACAATAATTTTGTAATGTTCCACGAAATAACATTTGGAAAACTGATCAACCTGATCATATTTACCAAGCAGATTTTTGTGAACCTTTTACACATTCTGAACAAACACGACAACCACGACAACCTCTCTCTCAAAGACAAAATTCAGCATCATATAAAATTAATATATAATCACAAAACCCTACAAAAACACGATTTTATCAACCTTAGCAAGAGCAAAACTGAGTTCCTTTGGCATATTATCTACAACAACATGAAATTACAAAGACTCATTTTACAAAATTTTTACAAAAAGCAAACGCAGCAGAATCACTTCAAATGACTATGAAACCGTACCTTATGAGCGGATCATCTGCATCTTTTAACAAACCACTCATGGTATTCACAGGAACAGACCCTGAATACTCAGTAGAAGACTATCTAAATGCAGTCACAGCAATTTTAATTTTAAATAATGGACCAGAACCAGTAAATACACCACTCCATCACAAATGGATACGTAGACGTAAAGCTCGAGTCGAAACCACACTTGATGGTGCAGCTCAAGAAAAGTTTTCGGTTCTACCTACAGAAATTCATTAAGATTGGAAAAGATTCACACAAGAATTTTCAAAAATATTACTACTATAATAGAAAACAATCACTTCATCGAAATAATTTTCGCGGAAGATCTCCAGACAGAAGAAATTCACAGAATTATTCACAAAACAGTTACAACAGATCAAATAGTCAGAACAATCAGTATCGCAATTTTTTTTCATGATTTAACTCAAAAAGAAGCATTTGCTCAGATTATAATAGAGGTTGTTCTTACTCAAATTCTCGAAACAGATCCTACTCAAATGATCGTTCAAGAAATTCATCAAACAATCAAAATCAAACTATTCAAACAATAGAAATCGAAAATTTTCTAATAGAAGATCACAAAACTACTCTAACAATAGACCATATTATAGCAATGACAAAAATAGATCCCGTGATAACTACAAGAATTGAAACAACTACTACCCAAACAGACAGAGAAACTTTTCTCAGTCACAACTTAGAAATAACACTCAATATACAAATTCACAACACCAAAACTACAAAAGTAGTAAACCAAATCATCAAAGTCAAATTAATCAAGAACAGTCAACAGAAAAAACCTAATCAGACCCCCCCGGTAATTACAATGCAGAAAATTTGGGATTACAGTTACATGACATAAATTGCGAAACCACAGATGACGAAAGTGAAACAGAAAACACACTTTTAAAATACTTGCTTCAAGTCGAAAACAAATACGAAACACCAATCGGTTCGAGCTGTTATCAAAACAATGCAAATATTTCTAATCATGAAGAACCAAATGATAGCTAAAACAAAAAACCAAAAAACTATAGCCAAAAGATTATACTCCAGAAGTTAATGAAAACAATTCAAAAATAATCAATATATCTCAAAATCTGGACCACTCCATTTCTCTTAAAGAGTCCAAAGAGTAAAGTATTTCAATCACCAGATCTTGAAATTGGTTTTCTAATTTATTCAGTAGCAGAATCAAATATTGTATTCATTCCCCTATAGAAAGAAACACAAACTCTACATCCAAGACTATTACCTTCAAAAACTTCAAGTAAATCAGACACAGCACAAGGATCAAGTCTTACAAACTATGGAAAATTTCAATTAATTCTCGTTCCAACTCGAACAATGGAACAGAGTAAGCTTTTAAATAAACCCTTTACACAAAAATTCCCCACAACAGATATAAAACACAGTATCGTTGGAATACCATTTGTTACAAAATATATCCCCACTATCAACAATTTGAATAGTAAATTACGTATAAAAGATAATTATACAAGAACAAAAAATACATCTCTCACCTTTTTCCGAAGACGCAATAAGCAGCCCCCATTTTCATCAAAATTTTACACCATAAAAATTCAACAGCGCAAACATTTGAAGCCATTATAAGG